CTGTAGATGTTGTAATTCACTGAGTCGACTCGCCAGCCCTGCTTGTGAGATTGGTGGTTCCGTTGGATCGCTTTGAGAAGGAGAAGCTGTTATCCTTGTCTCTCTTGTAGATCTGAATTTGGTGTGAACTCTCCACGAATCTGGAATGGCTTCTACGGAAGTCGATTCCCGCTTAGGTCGAGTTGTGATCCCTGCTTTGGACAAGGTCATTAAGAACGCCTCATGGCGAAAACACTCCAAGCTCGCTCACGAGTGCAAATCCGTTATCGAACGCCTCAGATCGCCTGATAATTCTTCACCTGTTGCCGACTCTGAATCTGGATCCTCGATTCCTGGACCGCTCCACGACGGTGGAGCCGCTGAGTACTCTCTCGCCGAGTCTGAGATCATCCTCAGCCCTCTCATTAACGCCTCTGCCACGGGCGCTCTCAAGATTGTCGATCCGGCCGTCGATTGCATCCAGAAGCTTATTGCACATGGCTATGTTCGCGGTGAGGCGGATCCCACCGGCGGACCTGAGGCGCTACTCCTTTCCAAGCTCATTGAAACAATATGCAAATGTCACGAGTTGGATGATGAAGGACTCGAGTTACTCGTGTTGAAGACGCTCTTAACTGCTGTGACTTCGATTTCGCTGAGGATCCATGGAGATTCTTTGCTACAGATCGTGAGGACTTGTTATGGTATCTACTTAGGAAGTAGAAATGTGGTTAATCAAGCGACGGCTAAAGCCTCACTGGTGCAGATGTCTGTCATCGTGTTCAGAAGAATGGAGGCAGATTCATCCACAGTCCCGATTCAGCCCATTGTCGTTGCAGAGCTTATGGAGCCGATGGACAAATCTGAATCAGATCCATCAACGACGCAGTCCGTTCAAGGTTTCATTACCAAAATTATGCAGGACATTGATGGAGTGTTCAATCCAGCTAACGCCAAGGGCACATTCGGCGGCCACGACGGGGCCTTCGAGACTTCATTGCCTGGGACTGCCAATCCAACAGACTTGTTAGATTCTACAGATAAGGATATGTTGGATGCCAAGTACTGGGAGATCAGTATGTATAAGTCGGCCCTCGAAGGAAGAAAAGGGGAACTGGCCGATGGAGAAGTGGAGAAAGACGATGATTCTGAGGTTCAGATTGGAAATAAGCTGAGAAGAGACGCGTTCTTGGTATTCAGGGCACTTTGCAAGCTGTCAATGAAGACACCTCCCAAGGAAGATCCAGAGTTGATGAGAGGGAAAATTGTGGCTCTCGAGTTATTGAAGATTCTGCTGGAGAATGCCGGTGCTGTCTTTAGAACCAGCGATAGGTTTGTTTTGCTTGTCTTATCATATTACTATAAGCCACATTAGGTTGTTTGTTATGCTATCTCTGGTCTCAAACTTGTTTCCTAAGCTTTTAAACATTATAGATCGCTAATTAGTATCCATTTGCTTGATAGTTGATTTGGGCGGGATGTTAGTTATCAGTGTTTCATCTGAAAATTTGGCATCATTCATGATGAAACAGGTTCTTAGGCGCCATCAAGCAGTATCTGTGTCTCTCCTTGCTGAAGAACAGTGCTTCAAATCTTATGATCATTTTCCAGCTTTCCTGCTCGATTTTACTTAGCTTGGTTTCAAGGTTTCGTGCTGGGCTGAA